CTCACAAGAAGAAGATGAAGAAACACAAAATTTTATCAATCAATCATCATCCTCATTACAATAGCAATGACCCATATATAAGTCTCAACATAAAAGAAGAAACAAAGACTAAATTACCCTCAGGGCTACAACATGACTCAACTCATAATAGGGGTACAATAGGGATACTCAAATAAAATAAAATGCATAAATATATTTAAAAATATAAACTCTGAATCATGGCCGTCAATCTGCGATTCTTCCGGCGATACACATGTTTGAACCTCTTATCGATGTCCTCGTCAGCTTCTCAATTGGAGCAACGTATCTCTGCTACAATCAATCTCCAACTAATGTAGTAGAGTTCATTATCCTAGCCGTCTTCATCATGCTAGGCTAGTAGTACTCCGAGAGACTCTTCCAATGCAGCTGCATATAGGATAAGAGGCTTTCTTAGAAATGGCGCTACGAGAATGGGCAGGTTTAACAAGTACCTCTTGATATTGTAAAAAGCCTCCTGACATTCTCTATCAACTTTGAGAACGGCTAGTACCTACCCAACGGATTCGATATTAATCATCGAATGAAAGCCAATTATCCTTGCAATGAGCAAAGTTGTCAAAGTTTCTTTGGCGGCAGCATCTCCATAATCGCCTTGATTTTATTGAGGTCGATTTCAATCATTGACAACAAACAACGTAACCCAGAAATCTTCCTAAGGAGACCCCGAAAGCACATTTGAGAGGATTCATCTTCAGATCGAATTTTCTAATTCTCTTAAACACCGTTCTCAAATCACTGGGGTGGTAATTTCGGTCCATGCTCTTAAGGACAAGATCATCCACATAACATTCAATCTTTTTATAACTTAACCCGTAAAAGATGAGCGTCATCGCCAGCTGCTAGGTATCACCAGTATTCTTCAGGCCGAGGGGCATTACCATGTATCAGAATATGCTAATAAGCGCTTTGAACGATGTATGCTTCTCATCTTCAGACATCATCTTGATCTGATTATACCCCGATGATCCATTCATAAATGAGAACATATCACAGTTGGAGGAGTTATCAACTAACAACTCTAACACTGGGACCAAAAATTCGTCTTTTGGACACGCCTTGTTGAGATCCCGAAAGTCAATGCAGACACGAATCTGATCATTCTTCTTCTTGACAAGAACAATGTTGGTGATCCAATTGACATACTTTTCTTCACTAATGAAGCATGTACTGTGATGCTTCTTCATCTATGTAATCTCTTTAACTTCAATATTCAATCTCATCCATCTTGGAGCATGTTTAACAGGCACTGCATCCGGTTTAATAGCTAATCTATGAACCACCACATCAGGGGACAAGCCATGCATTTTGTCATATGTCCAGGCAAAGTAATCTCTGAATTCAGAGAAAAGTTTTGTTATCTCTTCAACTTGGTCTTCGGAGAGAAGGACACTGATGAAGATCGGGCGAGGATCTTTTTTAGTCCCTAAGTTAACTTCCTTTAACTCATCCATCATGGCATCCTGTCCACCATCTTCGAGCTCTTCTGGTGCCGGTTTAGCTTCTACGGGTCGGTCATCTTGCAGATTAACTTCATAGCTTCCTTGCTACTGTCATTGGATTCAACTTCCCCACTTGCTATAGCACAACAAAACTCCTTTCGTGGATACTTTCGTACAATCAATCCAAGGCCTCTTTTTATGAGGGCGTCCTTTTTTCGTGATATGAGAAGGTTTTTCTCATAACTTTAAAAGGAGACGAGTTAATTATTTAGTGACACCGACGTAAACCCCTTGTTATCGCATCAGCCTTTGAATTCTTCTGGGATAATACCTAGGCATCCTCATAGGAATTATCTCTCCATAATCAATGAGCTCGATAAGCAAGTCGAATTTTTTTCTTAATGCTCTCCAGATTTGTAGAACAAACTTCTGGCATGGTATTTTTACTCGGAGGTGTGTAAAACATCTGGAGCTCTTAGACGTTATGCACTTTGCGAGGGATAATTTATTTGAAGTGAAGCGGTGGAAGAGGCATGATCACGAGTATGCTTTTTGAGATCGACAAGTCACTCATTCTCCTTAAGAAAATACATAATACTTTGCACGTATAGGTAGACTCATAGTCATAATCAAAATCTAAATGTTCCTCCTTCTTCCCCTTGACTAAAGACTGGCAGGTCCTCTTAGATTTGGCAGGGATGACATCATTTTCATCAGTGTCACTGCCCAGGTGAGGCACAACTCTACTTTGTTTAGAAGTAGTTACTGCTTTAGGGAAAGTTGGTGTTGCATTCTTTATCCCCGCTTGCTTCTTCTCACCTTCTTGCTTAGGCTGCTTTGCATCTTTTTTGAATTTGATGCCTTAGTTTCAAGAGTATGGTCAAACTTTTCATGCCACCTACGGTCTCAATGGTGAACAGGATGCCACCTTTAAAGAGAACTTTTATGCCACCTTCGGTCTCAATGCCATTGTAGTGTTGGTCAAAATTTCCTCTTATCTTTTTTTTCTCTACTTCTACCTTTAGTGACATGCCACCTTGCTCCCTATCACTTTGGATATTTCCTAAGCATTCATTCCATCAAATTCATCAATTGCACCTCAGCTACGATCAAAAGGTGATGCTTGTCCTAAGGCTTCTCCAACTGTAGAATCTCCCTTATGCGCTCCTCGATTTTTTGTTGAGGTTCTTAGGGGTCTTGATCCTTTGCTTAACTTTTTTATTTTTTTGCCCACATATTTCCAACAAGGGTCTAAAAACATTTATCACAAGCTTCAATCCTCCTTTCAAAATAAGCCAGCTCTCACATTATCTAACGAGAAGATGTTCAAGTTGGCCTAAATAATTTTTCTCCCTTGTCGGTAAGTTTTCTAGGAGCTGAGTATGTAGAATGTTTGCAAATTCATGATCGATCTACGTTGGATTGGAGATTATATGTTGGAAATTAACTCTGTCATATTCTTATTAAATTATACCAAGAATTTGATTAATCAAGGCTCTTCTCATGTAACATAATATATTGATGGATTCCGAAAGCATATGCTTAAATGGACATCTCATTTTGAGGGTTCTGTGGAACGTATTGTTGCTGTAATTTGAGTTTTTCTAATATTTATGAATTCACTACTTCCAACTTATCCATTTTGTACTATATTGGCCCATTTTTTTGTAAACTGCCTCAGATGAGTTTTACAACTGCCAAACTATCGAGACCATGATTGACTAGGGCATTAGCAAAATTGGATTTCATTTCTAAGAAAATTAAAAAAGATTGGCTCCACGTCTATTGTTACCAGTATTGTTGAGTTAATAGTATTCTTCCTTACTGGAGATCTTTCATCAAATAAACATTTCTTCTAATGCTATGGTGGCAATTCAACTACTTCTAATGTGATCTATAACAAAAGCTTGGAATCAAATTTAGATTATTTTTTGGAATAAGAGCCTTCCCAGGCTGCTAGACAAATAATTATAACAGGTCCCACATATACTCTTATAATTAATAATGCCCACACACACAGTTTCTTCTCCTAATGATATTCTTGCAGCAGTTTTACTAAGGATATGGGTGATCCAGACTCATTTTGTTTCTTCTAATATTAGCATTTCTTGCGCTGAGAAGCTTGTGGATAAAATGTTTCAAATTACATGTGATGGGAAAGAAAAGCAATAAAGTATTTCATACTCTCCAACATATCTCAGGCTTCAAGTTAACATTTTAATGAGAACTCTTGGGTCTCCTCTTTTCGTTGTCCTATCATTCGCCACATAATGACCTTATTGGAGGTTTTTTTTTTTAATCCATCTAGTAATATTTTGCGATTACTTCATCTTGTACTCCTTCCATTGGCAATAATAATACTTGTTTTGCTTCAAAAAAAGTGTAAGGCTATGATGCACCAACACTTCTCCTAAAAGAGCCGTGCAGTGACTGACACGTATTTAACATGACACTCATCTGACACGACTCAGACACATGTCAGACATACTGAAAACGTGTCCGGTTAAAAAGTATTAAATATAAATTGGACAGGTGTGTCCGACATGTGTCTTAAATATTTTATAAAAATTTTTAAATATAATTTCTTGTATTTAAATTTTTTATTTATTTAAATATAAAACTAAATTTATTATTTCTTATCCACAACACCAAATCAATCGCCCGCACTCAATACCCCATTCATCGAATATTTTCATTTTCATTTCCCTTTGGTGGATCACGACTTTGGTTGTCATCTAAACATAGATGTCTGATGTCATTATAACATCGACATTTCAAAATCATCTCGAAATCAAAGTCTGAACTTCATAGTCATTTGATGCTTGATGCTAGCAATTTCTACACCCACACCTTGATAGCTCATATTTGTCTGACATTGTCTTAACATCAATTATCAACACCCTCTCAACATCGACAACAAACACCCTCTTGACATCGACTTCCGATACTTACTGCATAACATCGACACCCAACTCTTGACAATATTGTCGTATCCTCTCTCTATGCCTGAAACACGGCTCGACTCTCGGCATCCTAATATTAATCATTTTAAGCACAAATTCTAATTAAATGACTTATTATTTCAATATTATTTTTAATATTATACTTATTCAATTTTTATACACTATTTTATAAATATTAAAATTATAATACCTTGTCCAACCCGTGTCCATGTCCTATATTTTCAATAATTGATGCATCTCGTACCCGTGTCGTTTCGTATATGTCGCTGTGTCCGTGTCTATGCATCATAGAAGTATGGCAAAAGAAAAGACGAATATCTTGGTATCCAATCACTTATCATGCCGTGATACACATTGGGTCATTATTCAGCTAATTAGAACCTTCAAATCCCATGGGCGGAGCTCGCAACTAAGAAAACCCGCAAGGATGAACCAAAAAATTAAAGCCTAGGAGTAAAAACATTACCATGGCATGATTTAGAATGAACAATATGTCATTTCAATTGAAAGGACAAGCTGATGATCATTCGTAACTAAAGAAGGTAATGGAACAAACCTGTAAACTGAGGCACAGCAGATCAGAAAGCCTTTTCAAGGTGATCCTTGAATAATACTTTGACACAACTAAGATATTCTGCAGAAACAAAAATATGGTATATAGTTTATTATGTTGATCAATAAAGGTAAAATGAAGGCCAAAGGAAATATGGCAGTTCAAGCGAATAACATTACATGTTCAATAATTCTCAATTTTAAATCCTCCGCCGCCTTTGGGACCAAAGGTCCCCCGAGCAAGTTATTTTCACTCTCAAACTCATCTTTATACATATTCCAAAGGCTCGTCCACTGGATCACTTCCATTGTCACAAGTTGCTTTAATAACAAACTAAACAGAACATTCAAGAAGAGAAGCACACAAAAACAGTCAGACTTCAGGAATGAAATTTAAAGCCAAGAGAGAAAGGTAAGAATAAGAACCTAAAATAAACATAACTCACCGGAAATGAGGAATCTCTGAAAGATTTTTATCATCTAAAGTAGCATTGAGAAGGCTAGATTGCATTGGATCATGTGGTGATAATACAAGATACCAGCAAATTTTTCTTAGCACCTTTAAGTAGGAAAAAAAATCATTATAAATGGCTTCAAAGTCAAAATATATCAAATGCCAAATAAGAAGAGGAAATTACTGGTATCCATTGCGATTGATTCTCCTGAACCGATCCAATTCCATATATTGCCTTATAACAACGAGAAATTTCCAGATAATCATTGCTGTGTGAATGGTATCTGTACCAAATAAATAGTAGTGCCTTAAATTAGAAAATCAAAGAAAAATCTCTATTGCAGTAAGAGTAATCAGAGAAAATAAATCAGTTATTGAAATGCACTGAATCCACGATTACATATCTAACATTATAAGGCATCCAATAGCATTTTCCAGTTTTGGAGATTAAGGAGGTCAACTTTAAGTGTATTTATAATACTATATTTTGTCTTCAACATAATGTGGATCGTTAACTTAAACTTTTCCTCTTATGATGAAGATTCTTCACCAAAGATGGTCTTTTAAAACAAGAAAGAGAAATGAAGTTCCACAGACAATATGAAGAAGAGTAATCATAATCATCATTTGCATAATCTCAACTGTTTTGGGATAGTTTATGAATCATCATTCTCTATTCATCATTTTTTAGTGTTATATGAGGTGTTAAAACTATTTTTTGCGTATAGATAAAACAATCCTTATTTTGATAAACAAAACATCATTGCACATACAGATATTCTAAGACATTTCAACATTAGTATCATTACAAGAACAAAGAGCATTAAGCATATGGTATCTATAACACTGAAAAGGCAGGGTACATCCATAATGTGTTCACACATGTCCAACAAAGTCAGTCTACCCATACATGTTGAACAAACATAAAACTGGCACATGCTTATATGAAATTCGTAAGTAGGTATATCGCTATAAGCTACTTTTGCAGCTATGCTAGTACAATTTGACTATATTAGGATGGTGATGATGACATTTATAGTTTGTCTTCTTTTTCAGAGATCCCTCCTATCTGTAATATGGGAATGAGCACAACGGTATAGGGAACATGCAAATAAAACAAACACCACTCTCCAAATATAAAGTGTTTTTCAATTAAAATGTTTCTCTATGTTTAACACTCCCCAGGTTGGAGCATATATATCAATTAGCTTCATCTTGTTATAAAATCATGAGAAAAAGAACCCAAAGCATCATAAAAATATTAGCCACTTGAATTGAACTGGAGACTTGATAAGTGACAATCTTCTAGAGCATATAGCATCACAAAAAAAGACAATCAAGCTCAATATGGTTTATCCATTCATGGAACACAAAGCTGTTAGCGATGCAAATAGTTGCACAATTGCAAAAAAAAGTACAAAATCATAGACTATGAAGTAGGGAAATCAAACTATCTTAACAAAATTGTTACCAATATCATTTCACATGCCAAATAAGTCATAGCTCTATATTTAGTCTCAACATTGAATCTGGTCATAACAATTTGTCTCATAATTTTCTAAGTGATCAAATTTCCTCCAATTCAATCACAAAATCCAAAAGTTGAATTATTATTTTCAATGGAGCCAACATAATCAACATGAAAAACTACTTGCACATTAAAATACTCAGACTTGATATAAAGTTACCCTTCTATACGATAAGTATGCATTGAACAACCTCCCAATGTTTTTACTTGAGATTTTGAATATGTTGGCTCACAACAACAACAAAGGATATGTTTGTCTAGTTGCAATTAACTAGAACAATTTTCCAACTAATATTTTATATTGAGATAGGTCATTAAAGGATTGCTCATTATCAGAACTAGATTGAGTATGTGTAAGAGTATCAGTAGGTTTACAAATTATAAGATCTCTTTGAGGACATCAGTGGGGTTTTTTTCCGAAAATACCTCTTTCTGTAGTAGGTAAATTCTACTTCAAAAAAATACTTTGGAGCATTCTAAATCTTTAGTCACAACATTTTTGTAGATAGTGTTCAACCTCAAAGATTCTCTTTTTGTCACTCCCAGTGAGTAAAAGAATATCAATACAAACTATCAACATCATGGAGCCTGTTGGTGTATGCTTGACGAAAATGGAATTATTTGTAGTGCGAATGTGAAAAACAATCTCGACAAGAACTCAAAAGAATTTTTCAAAACATGCATATGGGCTCTGTTTCAACGATAAACGATATCGATCAATTGAACTATCAAAGTGAAATTAGACAATGACCATCCATCAAAAAATAATTGGTTTAACCCCATAAGGGGGACCAAATTGCATATATGACAACTTCGTAAGGCATGCATCTTAACAGTCATAACATGTTTCCACAAAGGATTCAGTAGAACTTCCTAATATGTGCTTGGAATAGCTACATATGGTAGGGGCAAGGCAAGCATATGAAAGAAAGAAGAAAGTTGATCAAACGGCATAAAATTGAATGGAATGATTGTATGGAAAATGATAAATGAAGATTAAATACTTCATTAGTAGGTGGATTCGTAGTCGATTCTAATAATGTGCAAGGAGATGGCATTGTGGAAGGTGCTCGATATCATCAAGAGTAAACCTTTAGTTGCATTCAAGCAGATATATGAGCTTCAATAGGAAAAGGAATAGGCAATGAATATGACTCCAAAGGAAATGTAGAAAAGAAAAGTGTGGTCCCATGAAAAAGTAATACATCGGCTAGGAGAATCATAATATTTATGGCTTTTTTGAGATTGATATTACACAAGAAAGATATGTCAAATGCTACAATGAGAAATCATGTTGTGCAAAATAAAAGCATGACAAAATAGACAATCAAATATCTAAGTTGTAACCAAAAACTTAAGCTTTGTTAGGATAAAAATGAGAAATTGGTTAAAGATCATTGAGAGAGTGAACAAGGTTATCAATAGCAGGCCAATAGTAGCAAGAAATTCATATGGAACATTAAACTCCAAGCAGCATCAAGAAGATGACAATTTTTGCATTAAGTAACAACATTATATTGAGAGGCATGGGAACAAGAGGTTTGATTAGTAATGCAACTATCAAAACAAACTCGTGAAACTAAGATTATAAATATTCCATAGTAACATTCATATAAAACATTGAAGTCCCAGTAAAATCAAGTAGATCATGATTTTTGCAGGCAATAACAGCATTCTGTTGAGATGCATATGGAAAAAAGGTATGATAAAAAATAACACTATGAAAATGTAAATCATGAAATAAAGATTGCATAAAGTCCAAAACATTATCACTATGAAAGGTTTTATCTAATTTACAGAATTGAAAACTATATTTCTTCATAAGGAATTTGAAATATATTAATCACCCATGATTGATATTTGAGTAAATAAACTCATGTTTTCCAAACAAAAAATTATCAATTAATGTAGCAAAATAACAAAATCCTAGGTGAGTAAGAATAGTACTAGGAGCTAAAATTCTGAGTGGACAAGCTCAAAAGCAAGATTTTGATGGCTAATGGAAGAAGGAAAAGACACACGACAATGTTCCATGCATAATAGTCAAACTTAGAGAGAGATGATGAAGAAAAACATAATATGAAGACCTGCTAGGAGATGGTGTCCAACGACATTGTCATGGATATGGAAACTTGGTGAAGAAAGACTAGAAGGCCAAGCAATTATTATGTACTGAACTTCACCCATTTCAATACCAGCAATCATCTTCCTTGAGCTAATATTCTTTTAAAAATAATGAGGGATTGAAAGTTGTTGAATAATGATGGTTTTTAAAGACTGTGATAGGAAGTGGGTGCAATTTCCTAGAAATCAGCGAACGAAAATAAGAAATTAGAAAGAAAAACACACCAAAATGATTTTTATTATAAGATATATATGAAAGAAAATAGCAAGATACAGTTGAATCTTCAATTGGAAAGGAAGATCCGTGATGTAGGCAAGGGGGGGTCAAACATTTTGGGTCCTTCTGTTCTTTGGGCTGCTTGCTGCCTCTCGGTTTGGGCCTTGGCTGCTCTCGGGTTGGGCTTTGACTGCATTGGTTTTGAGCTAATAATTTGGGATCTACTTGGTTCTAGCTCATTAATGCTTGAACTAATGTTAGCTCATTAATATGAGGAGTTATTGCACTTGAAAGCTCATTATATGGAGTTTGGAACCTTACCGCTTCCCCTTCTTTGTGTCTCCTCGGTTCCTCCCTTGGTGATGTTTCCGTGGATGGTTCTTCTCCCTTTGCTGGCTGCTGGTTCCAGTCCCCTTTGTGCCTTTTCGATTTGTTCCCTGGCTGCTTTCCTGTGACTCCTCTACCCGGTTCATGTGCTGCCTTTTGGCTGCTGTTATGGAATTAATTTTAGCTGTTTGGGAGCTATTTTTGGGCTGTTTCTGGACAGCTGTTAGCCTTCCAAATTCCCCTATTTTAATTAGCTTAATTAATGGTTTTATGGTGGCTGTTTGGCTACTCCTTTTCCCCTATATATATTAGATGTTTTGTAATAGAAAAGAGGGAGATTATGAAGAATTTTTGGAACAAAACCTGAGAGTTTTTTCTTCCTTCTTTGGAAAAGCTTGCGAGCTTGTTACATCCCTTCCTCTTCTTCTAGGAAAGCTTGCGAGCTTCTCCTCCTTCGTCTTGGACTTCTTACCTCTTTCTTCTCTCCGCAAGTTCGACGTCATTTGTATCCTTCTTCTTCACAAATGAAATGCAAGTTTAGGTTTTTATTTTAAGTGTGTAAGCGTCGTTTTTATGTTATAAAAGTTGTCTTTTTATGATATATAAGGTGTCTCTTTTGAGTATTTTGTGTCATTTTTATTTCCTAGGAAGTGTTTTCATTTGCAAGCAAAAATTAGGGGTTTTCTTAATTTCTTGCTTGCATCAATCCAGCTCTCCTAAATCCCTAACCATCAACTAGAGCCCAAATAACCTAAGAATAAACTAAATTCAACAAATTCCTAAAACATAATTTGAAATCACCCTATTATTTACCTTAAATAGGCTCCCATAATTCCATCCCAAATCAGTCCCCTTTCCCTAAATAATTCCCTTTCAGATTTGAATTCAAATTAGATTTATTTCCCTAATTAATTCCCTCTCAATTGTAATTAAAACTTTCCTAATCAATCTCCCTTTAATTCCTCCTCCTTTTCCCTAAATAATTCCCTTTTAGATTTTGAATTCAAATTAGATCTTTTGCTTTAATAATTCTCTCCCAATTGTAATTCAAGCATTCCTAAATAATTCCCCTTTGATTAAGAACCTTC